CCCCCCCCCCCCCCCCCCCGCCCCCTTCACCTTAGCTCAAGGTCTGGATCGCCACTGGGGGTAACAGAAGAACTAGCCAATCTATAACTAACAATGTATATTTCATTTGTTTATTTAGATATCTTGTGGAAAATGGAGAAACGGAGTTGAACCTTAGAGACCACTGGGATAGCACACCATTGTAAGTATCAATTATACAGTTTTGACTTTGATGTTTTTCCCTTGGTTTCCGTACATATTTTTGTTACTGTACTACTTCCAAAGATAATGATATGTCACATATATTGCTTCAATTTCTTGTTTGTATCTTTTAGGTACTATGCCTGTCTGTGTGGTCATCATGAACTGGTGGAGTTCCTCTTACAAAACGGTGAGGTCGTTTTGATTGCAAACAGGTTTAATACAGGTTTTGTGACTACGTGCGCCTTGAGTAAGCGACGCAAAATGCACACGTCACACGCGGATACAGATCTTACCGGATATTATTCGCGGTTCTGACTCGCTTGCCTTGTTCACTATGAGTATTATCGCGAACGTTGCAAAACTGGCTGCAAAGCAACCTACAGACACTCTTAGCGCAGATGTTTTTTTTTCCCCAAAGCTTTACGAATCGTATTTTTCCTCCCTTAAACACAGATTGAAGTAGTTTATACCATTCTGTTCGCTTGCTTTTTCTTAACAAACAAAGGCATCGTTTGTAGCGTCTACAATCGATGGTTAGGAGGCATTACTTTTACTTCGAATAGGATAAGATTAAAGGACATTAGATGACGCTGTTTCTCAACTTTTCTCGCCTAATTAAGGGGCTCGTTGTGCGCCGAACACGTTTGATGGAGAACGCTGTCTGTATGCGGCCCTCACAGACAAGATAAGAGGTCTTCTAAAGAGCTACAAAGCCATCACGTCTGAATGTATGAGAAGAGACTCGTACAGGGAATTTCTCAGGAGGTAAAATACTCCACGCAACACGTTTCTCTCTCGTAAACAGTCGATGTCATTTTAGCGAGATGGTTCATTGGATAAAAGGTCCAAGCAACCCTTTTAGAACTTCCACAAAGTTTTGTCCCACCGAGGAAATTAAAAAAAATGTAAAGTTCTACAAATTAAAGTTTACCGCTTTGTCATTTAATTGCTATCGCTTTTCCGCTTGTCCACTGACTTTGGAGTGTCAGCACTCTGTCACAGGAATAAATTTCCTTGTCTTTCCAAAATTGCATTCAAAAATTACAAATGCTCCTATAATTGTCAGATAACAGATAAAAGTCAGATAACATTTCACTTACCTATTAGTCTAAGAAAACAGACGTTTTCTCACAAGCTCAATTCAATTCTACACTGATGACGTTGTTCAGCAGAGATCCGTGTAGTTTCTCTGATTGGTTGTCGTTCAGATTTGAATTTTCGCGCGCAAATAGTAGCCAATCAGAGACACGAGACGGATCTATGCAGAACTACATGCATACATACTTTTATTATTGAATTTCCCCTAAGAGGCTTTTTAAAGACCATAACTTATGTCATAAGTGTCGCATTTTTGGCGCGAAAAGAGGCGTGTGTTTGTGCGGGAATCTTTCTTCACAAGCTTCGCAGTGTTGTTATTTGAAATTTTGGCATATCTTGGTTTGCAGATGCCTGGCGGACTCACCCTATGCAGATGTCTGTTTCTTGGTACATGGTGTACCCATGCCTGCCCACCGTGTGATTCTAAATGCGCGGTCTTCATACTTTGCTCACATGTTTATGAGTAAATGGCGGGATCGTCCCATCATTGAACTCAAACACAAACTGGTAAGATCACCTGAGGGACTAATAGTACTTTAACACTTTAATCATGTCTTATTCTCTTTGCTTTTTTTCTCGGTTATGTGGCAGCGACTATTATATTACGTATGGGATACTATTATCGAATTGTTGCCCCTTGGCTCTTCGGGGTCACCCTTGGAATCTCGACATTTTTCATGCACGATTTCACTTACGGAAACATACAGATTTGAAGAAAACAAACCTAGCTAATTTTGTAAGGGACTAGTAAGTCTGCATACGAGCCAAGTGGCCCATCAGGCCGGAGCTTATCCCGGTTTCTGTGGCATGAAGCGACTAGGGATATTTCTACTCCCCCCTGGATGGGATGCTAGTCCATCTAAGGGTTACCCCCAGCATTAAATTCACCGGTACTCAGTTATACACCTGGGTGGAGAGAGGCACTGTGAGAGTTAAGTGTCTTGCCCAAGAAAACAACACAATGGCCCCTGCAAGGCCTCGAACCTGGACCGTCGTGTGCGCTAACCATGAGGGCACCGCGCCTTCCAGGGACGAGTGATTAAGTCTATATATGGTGCGAATGGCTTTGTACTTGTTTGGATATTATATATTTATATTATTTTATCAGAGCTCTTATGAGAAGACTTTTCCTCTCAGGTGAAACCCTGGGCTTTTGAAGCAATTCTGCAGTACTTGTACACAGATCGACTGTACATCGAGATGGATAAGATTGACGACTGTATCCGACTGGCGCGCCAATGCAAACTGGAATATCTCAAATCACAACTGGAAATCAGACTCCGCAGTATCCAACTGTTTGGTAAGAAGAGGCGTCTTTGCTTACCTTAGTTCGGTTAAAGGAGCTACGTCACGGTTTGCTCATTTTGAAAAGTTTAGCCTAAATTTATCAAGTTCGTCGTTTGTAATCCTCCTCAGTCTTCTCCATTCATAACCATCCTTGTTACTTTCAGGCTTCCTTCAGTTTAAAGGTAATTTTGCACCTGACCCAAATAACTCAGAATGCCGTGACTGAGCTACTTCGATGAAGTATTTTTCGCTTCGTTCCGGTTGACTACAACCAACCTGTCCGACCGACTGTTAATCGAAGTGTCTCCGGGAAGGTCACTTTTTCAAGGGGTTTTCAAGCAAGTCGAAATTACACTACCTTACTTTACCCTACCCTACCCTTCCCTACCCTGCCCTATCGTACCCTATCTTAGCCTAGCCTAGCCTACCCAAACCACACCCTACCTACCCTACCCCCTTGATACGCAGTCTGCTGCACTGATGCACTGCTTCTCGAGCTCGAAGCGTAAACTGAGAGTAACAATATATTATATCGTGTTGTAGGGATGTCTAAAACAAGGACCTGCTCCATAACAGTGGTGAGTATTGAACCTGAGTCCCAGTCCACGGGCTTGCAAGATGCATTCGGTCGACTGGCTGAGTTTGCGCTGCCCACTGCCTTGACGTCCCAGGTAGGTTGTTGCTTTCAGTGACTTTCAGCAAGTTTTATTTATTTGTCTGTTTGTTTGTTCGCTTCGTCCCAGCATCATATGCGAAGGTGACTTTTTTTCCGCCGTGAATTTGTAGAATTTGTTCTTCGCCTGTGTAGCTTTGTGTTCATGCAAATGCTTTTGAAAAAGTTTGGAAAAAGTCGTTTTAATGATTCGCGCAAATGGCTGCGGTTATAGTACATGCGCAATTGAGAGCTTTCAAGTTGTAGATATAAGACATCGAAGGACTTATTACTTAAGTTGGTCGCTTTCAGGGGTTGTCTCTATTCACCTGAGCTACACGACGATCTTATAGTGTCTTCTATATGTTTTTTTTTTTTTTTTTTTTTTTNCCAAGGCCTTTTCCGCTAGAGATATCCTCGGATGTTTTTGACGGTTTGTATCTATCTATAGATATATATTTTTATGGCGTGATTTATTGCATTGTTTTGCCTTTTCCAATATTTACTGGCCTTTACATTTGCTCATCTAAATATAGTTTACACGGACATCAGATGATTTTCGAACCTTAACTGATGATTAATGAGCCTGAAAATGATCTCAGCGAGATCGAAACGTCGTTTGATTTTATCTCTAGTTTTTATCCTAAAATGATAGATGTGTAGGTAAACTTACATTTTTATGGAGGTAACGAAAAATGGGACAAATAGTGGTACCACAAGTAAGGGCAGGGAGAAAGTTCATGAGTCAAAAGCTTCACATGATTAAGTAACAAGTCAGGGTGCACAACGTAAGGAGCCAATCAGGCACACATATAGGTGCACATTGAAGGAACCAACAAAAGCGCCCAATTAAGGGACCAATAAACGTACGCAATTGACATCAATTGAAATACGCAATGTAAGACTGGTTTTCACTAGCGCACTCTGGAGCACAAGCAACATACGCAGACGCAATAAGATGTTCATAACATCTTATTGACTTTTTTCGCACTATTTTATTACTATCTATAACTTTTCAAGTACTGTGCCATGCAGCCACGGATCCTTTTGGACTACCGATAATTATTTTGTTAATAAGTAACAACTTGTTTTTAGGAAAATTCCCTCCTCCCCCCAAACAAGAGGCTTTATTTAATAGCACCTTTCTGTGTCCACGCGCTAATGAAAATCAACTTTACTAGTAAAGGGGTAGCATCTCACTAAAAATGATGCTAAGAAGAATTTTTTTCATTTAGTTTCAGTTTTCTGTGAGGAGCCGCCGCTTTATGCCGACGTGTGTTTTATCGTGGACAACCGCACATTTTACTGTCACAAGGTTAGAGGGCTGTTTTGTATCCAGAGCACAGCCCAAACTCGTTCCCAGGGTCCTCTCTCTTCCTCCCTCAAGAACGTACCCTTGGGAACGAGGTTGATTAGAGCCCAGCCTTCAGCGTAGATGTTGTTTCATTTCATTGTCTTATAAATTTGTAGAGATTTATATTTCGTATCGTTAAAGCAACCAAAGGAAGAAAAAACGCCCTCTCTGTTTGCATTGTTTTTGAGGTTATTCAATTTTCAGTGAGACTGTTTGATTATAAAAGAGCATGTTATGAAATTATTAAGAATATTTATACGGTTCCGACCCAAACTTTAGTAACTTAAAATCAGATTCATTAAGAAGCACTACAAGTTGGCGAAATGTTAACACTCTATTGAGAAATTGAGTTACATTCAAGGTGAATTCACATAACACCACTTGTTTTCTGGAAGGTGTTTTTCTGTGGAAGAAGCGATTATTTTCGAGCAATGTTGGATGGACACTTCTCGGAATCAAGCTCACCAGGAAAGCAACTCTTCAGCGCCTCCATTCCTGAGGTGTATCTTAACGACGTATCACCTGATGTTTTTGCGGCTGTTGTTGCATTCATTTATCAAGATGACGCACTGGTGAGCGCGCTCGGATTTACTGTTTTTCTGTAGCTTCCTTATCACAGAGAACAGTAGCACACATTTAGGATTGAGTATCGAGCAAAACAGTTAGCCGGTCCCACATAAACATGAAGGGCTTGGCGTTGGTAATCTTGAGTAAACAGAAATGTTTGTCCACAGGCTCAATTCTTCTCCGGTCAAGAGAAGTCTGAGATCTAACCCAAAAATTCCATTCTGATGACGTAGCTTTAAAAAGATCCAGAGAACGTGAACCACAACGGCTAATTTTTTAAAACTTTATTTCAAGTTTATCGCTGTGTCCCAGATTCAGTTTCGTGAAAGTTTTGTCAGTGATAAACAAAGTGAATGACTTTAGAGTATCGCGAGATTCGTGGGTAAAATAGAAAGTCATATTTTAATCGACTTTGTCCTCGGCGTCGCCGTCGTAGCTTATTAAACTCCCTATTGAGCTTGCGAAGGAAACCGTAACGTCTATTTATTTTTTAGTTCACTTTGTCATGTGCGCATTTGAATTTTTCTGAGAGCCATGTCTCAAAATAGAGCCCAAGCAACTATGAGTAATGCGTCAAATATATTCTTGATCTACGACTTTTATGACTCATAGTTTCTCGCGAGCGAGAACAATGCATTTTTATTTGCTTGACAATGTATTGATGTGGTATCGAGAAAACACGTTAAAGTCGTCGTTCGTCTTTGTTGTTTCTTCAGGTAACAGAAGAAAACGTGTACAGCGTGCTGTGTTTTGCAGATGTCTATCTGTTAAATGGCTTGAAGCGGCTTTGCGCGCGTGCAATCAGCACGTTTCTTGACACAGAAAATGTTTTGACCGTGTTAAGAACTTCACGCCTCTTTAACCTGCCCAAACTCGAGGCGGATTGCTGCGAATACGTCAGTAAACACTTAGAAAAGGTGAGGAAAAACTGAAATTGAAATTCTGTGTAATGGCACCGACAAAGAATCCAAGGCTCTGTTTTAAGTTACTTTTCAGATGGAAACCATTGATTTATACAGCGTGGGCTTTAGTTTCGGGATCTAGTTTGTGACGCTCAAAATTTTCGGCTTAACTAAGAGGAAACTCAACAGTAATGGTTTCATCTTGTAGAACTGTGCATAATAAATAACAGAAACCCATTAGAAAGTAAGGAATGCTTACGAGGACAAAGATGGAAAGGGATTATAATACGACTGTACAAAATTGTAAGCGTTAGCTTTTCAAGTTTAGCTCGAGCTCCTTTCAATTCGTACAGAATTTGCACTAGCCAATCAGAACGAAGACATGACTAGCACAACCAATCAGAGGGAGAATTCATTTAACTCGCACAGCTTTTTCCCGCGCATTAACTGGTAACTTGAATTCGTCTTCAGCCTCCATAGCTAGTTGGCGTTTCTTCCCGAGAAAGGGCAAAAATTAGAATATTATGGAAACCGAAGGAAGAATGGGACCGTTCGTCGTGCCCTCCTTCCCATTCTCCTCGCGGTTGTCTTTCTGGAGCAGACTAAACCTTCACTAAACGTTTATACAGCTGCTAAATAACTTATCGCAACAAAGTCTACAATAAATCTTTTTTATATGCTTACAGTTGATCGACGACGAGGAATTCCACTCACTAATCCTTGAAGATGTGTCTTCTGTTCGCAATCGCCAACAGACGGATTCCATTCCCGTTGTGGACGATATTCGCTTCCATTTATTCAAAAGTGTTCTTCCCAACGTCACGTCTGACGAGGATGAGGACGGACAGTTTGACAGTGAAAGAAAACTTACCTTGTTTAATAACTTGTTAGTACACCTTGGCATCGAGTGTTAGACTGACCTGAATTGGCGAAGTTGCAGTATTTGACTGGAGAATCAGTGGTTGTGGTAATCACCATAGCAACAATTGACCACCGCTGACCTGTGTATCGAGAGTTTCAACCTGCTTCGGACCCCGATGCCGTTTAATTTATCGGTTGTTATTGACCGCTGTGTGGCCAATGATGAATCAGATTGGGCGTTTCCGAAAAATCGGTCAGCGGGTCATGCTAAGGCTTACAATATTTTGCTGTGTTGTTTTAGGTTGTCGGTTGTTTACCATTTAACGAAGGAATTGGAAATTGTGGTTCGAATCTCAGATAACTATTTTTGTTTGCTCGCTTGCGGAGGTGCAAAATTTTTTTAGAGTAAATAAGAATTCTTGACGGTTAATATTCAAAATGGAATGAACCAAACGAAAAATGCACGGGCTTTTATTTGCTTGAATTTCTGCCTTGGCTCCTCGCAACAAGGTTGCCAAATCTCTGTTTGGCGTTTGACTTCCCACTTCACTGATAAACAGCCATGCTTGCTTCGGGCGCGTTTATGTAAATTTGTATCTCAAAGAATTCATATAAGCAGGTCGTTTTGGCATAGTATTTGTAAAGTATTCGTGTTTTATACCAGTCTTTTTTATAGAATTTCTAGTGCTCCAGGAGCAGTTGGTCTCACCGGACTACCAGAAAACTGAGGAAAAAATTGAAACCTTTTTTTTTTCTATCCAACTGAACAAGGTCGTGGTTAGACTAAAATACTGGTGTTCAATTCTGTCACTAATCTCACTGATACTCGTTAGAAAAAAGCTTTTGTTGAAGACAGGTCAAACTTCGCCAGTTTCAGATTTTGATGAGAGTAAAGTTATGGTATATTTGCATCAGGTTGAAAATAATTTATATTATGCTAAATTGGTATGCATAACTGAGATTTGTAAGGTATTAAGATGTTAAGAGAAATGAGCAGCTTTATTAGATATGGCTGCCTTTACGTCTTGTCATTGTGAAATAAAACATGTGCAACTTTTATTTGTTCTGCATCCTACATACCCGGCACAGTCAATCGAACCCAATCGAACTGTATTTCAATCGAATTCAATCGAACTAAATCGAACTCAATCCATGAATTGAGTTCGATTGAGTTCGGCAATCGAACCAAATCGAACTCACACAAAAATAATTGGGCAATCGAACTAAATCGAACTTGTGATTTCTGAAATCTTGATTGTTTGTAAAACTGATGTTGAAAATCAATAACAAGTCTTTCCAGGCTCGACTTACTTTAGTATAACACGTGTTTTTCGTGTTTTCGAGACCACATAACATAATCTTTGTTCAAGCGAATTTATTCACCGAACACAATCGAACGCAATCCATAGAATTACGTTCGATTGTGTTCGGCTGCCGAACGCAATCGAACACAATCTAATGGATTTAGTTCGGTTTGGTTCGGTTTGTTCGATTGAGTTCGATTGGTTCGGAGATCGAACTCACACAAAGTTCAGTGTTCGATTTGGTTCGATTGACTCTGCCGGGTACATGACGTCCATAACAGTCCGAGCCTCAAGTAAGAAGCAGGCATGAATGTATGAAAAGCTTTTTAGAATATTCTAAGTAGCCGAGGTGTGTTATAATTTCTGTGACAAAAGTGTATTCTAAACCATCCATGTTATGTCAAAATCATAACTCAAGTTCGTCATCATGTGCCTCTCATATGATAAATGCGAATAAGACGAGGCGCGGTGGCCAAGTGGTTAGCGCGTTAGAGATCGAGTGCTGTTGGCTGGGGTCTTTGTGCTGCGACTCCTCCCCAGTCGTCTAAATACAGTGCGCAGCACGGCGCTTTGTGAAAAGCGCAAAGGGGAGTTGGGAAGGCGGAAGACAAGACTTCCTCTCTCGCTTTCTCCCTGCCTATCTCGCCCTGCGCTCCAACCTCGCGACCTACCGCACGCTTTTACTCTCACAATGTCAATCTACTGGAAAATTGATGAGCCTTTAGTGAGTTCGAGGTCGTCTCCATCTTTGGCAATGTAGCTTTCCGCGCCAGCGTATAAAACACAGCAAAGGGAAAAAATGAAGACCCAGGGATATATCTTACATTCCATTTTATTAAAGCTTTTCATTTCGGCGAACAATTGTGTAAAGAGTAAAGGCCTTACAGTCGCTCGAAAGCCAAACCACTCTGTTCCAGGATTACTAGCGAAGGTAGATTAGCCAAGTCCAAAACAAAAAAGAAAAAAAAGACAAGTAATAAGTAAGATTTATCACTGCTAAGATTTGAAATTTGATTAATTTGAAATTAAATGAATCCTGCCTGGATAACCGGATTCTCGCTTTGAACAACAAGGCCATGTAAGTCTCTATCATAAAAGTTCGTTACAAATCAATTCGTTACGTTTCTAGATGTTCGTTACCTTTTAAGTTCGTTATGTATCGAAAGGTTCGCCGCTTATCGACAAGACCGTTGTGTTGAGAAGCCTGCCGGTTTGTTATCAAGGAGCTCGCTACATACACAGTGTACACTGTATTTAAAAGTTAGTTTCTCGTGCTTCCTCGAGCTCCTCCAATACTGGAGTTGACGTTTACTGGTTCTTCTTAATTAAGCTTATAGGATGGTCTGGATGAGTTTTCGGTGATTTCTCGGCAAGGAGTTAAAATTCCAGGCCAATTTTTTTCCACTTAACAGTTAAAATTTGTGCCAAATTTTCAGCTATCAGATTAACCTCATCCAGGCTCTTTTCATGAGACAAAAAAATTAGACTCATAATGGTGTCCCTTCCGTTAAGCGTTCGAAAAGACCTGAAATCCTAAACAAAACTCTCTGTTCTTTTATCAAGGCAAGCATCAAAAGAAGTTTGCCTGAAATTTGACCATCATGATGTGAACACCAAGCAATTCAAAACCACTCACCTTATCAATATTACTGTTACTAATAAAAGTTGATGACACTGGATATCATACAATTTTAGAAAGATTAAGAATAATCAAAATACTGAAATTTACTGTAGTTACGTCATCTACATCATCACCATCATAGATACATACATACTCACTAGCGTGCAATTAAAAACTACAGTCAACTATCACGTGACTATTTTCACAATTTCGGCAATGTAATTTAATTGTATTGAGCAATCTACTGAATATACACTGATCGCCTACAAACAACAGATATAATAAATTCCCCAAACTCTTTGTACAAATATTACAATACATCCCTGAACATTGAGGGGTAAAATATTATTTTTATGTCAACTCAGGACAACAGTCCTAAAGCTACATTTCCCCGCAATGGTCTTAGAATAGACCATATTTAGAAATGGCCGCCCTCAATACAGTGACTTTAATTACATTTCCTCAGACTTTTCTGGGAAAATTTACTGCAAACGATATCAACCACAAGTATCTTGTCTGATTAGTTTGTCTTTTATATTTAATGTCCACAAAGTTAGGTCCCATTCAAATTTCAAGGGGTGAGGTCATGCCCAATATTTCTAAGTAATGAGTTTCTTTCAATCAAAAGAGGAAAGTAAAACAATTCAAAAGGTGTAATTGAGAACCAAAGCAGAACAAAGACGGTTAAAGTTTGGGAAGATCTGAAAAAAATTAGGTTAAATTTTCCTGTTAGTTTCTAATTCCTTCGTGGAATTCGTGGATGCAAAAAAAATGAACCTAACGAGTCTGTCTTTGTTAGTTTTTTCATGTGACTTGTAATCAAATATCAATGTGATTCACTTGAACTTTAAATGTTTCCTCTAGGTGTCGATACTGGGGTGGCCAAGTCTAAAGGTCTCAATATTATTTTAAGGCACAAATTTTTTACAGTGTTACAGCCGGTTTAATATTTATACAATATCAATATTACTGGTTAAGTCTTGGTATCTTCACTAAAAAAAAAAAAAAAACTGCAGGAAAAGATCCCAGCCAAAAGGCATTGTGATTTGGTCAACTACAGAAGCGAGTTGACACTCTGGGCTGAGATCACGATGAAAACAAAATTCATAAAATGCGATAAGGGTGCCTCGTTGGTCAACTTCCAAAATGGAGACATTACTCCAGTTTATCTGTCCTCTAGCGTAAAAGTAGCTACATGTCAACTTGTGTAAAAAGACCAAGAACATCAGAAGTAAGAACACTTTGAAACAAGATCCCCCTGCCCCCTGCACCCCATTCCAAAAATGCCTCCTGCCCCCACCCCCTCCAAAAATAGACTTCTTAAGGCTTTGCTTTCATCTCGAAGATTGAGTGATTAATTTTAAAATACAAACCATCTCTAAAATTAGAAGTTTGAAACGGCAACATCAGTGATGTGTTCAGAATAGAAGAGAAGAACTTAAAAATAAAATAATAATGTACCGCAGAAGCAGGTAATAAATAAAATTATGAAGACAATGCTGAGGTTCAATTTTACATCCAGTAACCTATGCTTTTTGTTAAACTATGGGCAGGTTTAAGAATTTTTTTAAAAACGTTAAGCATGACAGAAGATACCAAAACTTAAACCACAGGATCATTCCTACAATATAATGTACTATATTTGTCGGCCTAAAGTACAAAAACTTGTCTGTTCTCATGTCAGAGTTCCATATCCTGTGCCTCGTCTTCTGAAAAGTCACTAATGGAACTTTCACTCGATGATGACATTTCCTCCTGGTCTTTCAGTGCTTCCTCCGTTGCATATTTTTTAATATATTCTGGTAAGAACGAAGTTGTAAACAATGAACAAATGAAATCTTCTGCACTCTTAGGAGTATTACTAACAATATTCTCCCTGGATGACATGCTAGTACCACAGGGGGCAGATCTAGGGGAAGGGTGCAGGGGGTGCACACCCCCCCCCCCCCTCTGAGATAAATCCTTCTCCTTCGTATTTGCTTTTAAAATTTGTTCACCTCACCAGTCAGTTACACCATTCCTTAGTGGTGCACCCCTCCTGAGAAAGATCCAGGATCTGCCCCTGTACCAACCATTGGCCTGCTCCCAAGAATTTTCTGGGAAGCATCCCACCAAGGGGAACAGCAATAACAATATTGCCTACTGTACAAGTAGCATGCGTGAGGCCCTCCTCAAAACCATGCGGCCTAAGAGATACTGTGCTATGACTCTGAATGGAGATGTCCAGGTTTAACCATCAGTCAGTATAATTGAGATGTGTTCTTGGGCTCACAATGGCCTCTCTCCACCCTGCAGGAATGCTAGTGAGTAACCAGTGACAGACTAGCATCCCATCTGGCAGCAAGGAGAGGCAATGTTTCTAGCTGCTTCATGCTATAGAAGCTGGAGTTAGTGCTGAGAGCTATGAGCGTGTAAGTTTATGGGGTTTTTAACTACTAGCAACATAGGTTTGTAGCAAATACTCCTGGGTAAAACATACTCTCTTCACTCATCATGTACCTATGGGCCCATGTATGTACTCTGGTCAATACACTAACGAAAGAGTACCAGTTGCACAATGTGAAAAAACCTAAAAATATACCCTCCCCTACCACTCCCCTTCTGCATTTCAGCTTAAAGGAGCTCCGTCACGGTTTGCGCATATTGAAAAGTTTAGCCTCAATTTTTCAAATTTGTCGTTTGTAATCCATGTTAATCTTCTCCATCCTTAGCCATCCTTGTTCCTTTATGGTTTATCATTATCTCTTTGGTGTTTTTCTATCTTATTAAACTGTTATTTTCAGGTTTCCTACCATTTAAAGGTAATTTTGTATGTGGCCAAAATAACTCAAAACACCGTGACTGATCCCTTTAATCAAGTCACATTTTTTTTAGTTAGCATCTTGGTTTGGAAAGGAAGGATTCTTGGAAAGTTTCTAAGTTATAATATTCTGCAAGCCTTACAGGGCACATTAACTGAGCATTACTTCATTGTTACCTTGAATTTTTGCCTTGTACTGTTCTGGTTTGTGAAGGTAAAGGGCCGCTGCATCTCCATTGAGTGGATCCACAGGGTTTGGATAAGACAGAAGTTGAGGAAGAAACGACTCAAAGATATTTGACAAATCTGCAGTAATGAATAAGATTTTAGCATCAGTGATCAAATTTTGAATATCAATAAAAGCCAATTTTTCTGTGAAATTGTGTAAGGCATAGCAAGTTGACTAAATCACTCATGAATACAAAGGGAAAGTTAAATGTTTTTTGTAGATACTATGAAGGAAAAGTCTAAGTATTTTACGGGCAATGTTCACTTACCATAGAGAGCAGTCCACGCCTGATTAATAACATCAAGGCATACTGTACCAGAACTGCAAAGGTAAGTAAAATCCATTTTGAAAAACTTACAGTTGAAGCTCTTGTTGCAACCATTCTCCTACATGACCAGCTCCCGTCAGCGACCATTCACATGAAACCCTGCTCGTTTTAAGATGTAGTTGTAGAAAATATCCATACCCTCCCCAGGAAAGGTCTTTTTGTTGGCCCCTCCCCTCCCCCCAGCTTCATGCTGTCCACTTGACTTTTGATACCTTCCACATAACAAGAATTTCTAATGACATTCCATGGGAAACACACATTCTCAGAAGCAATTAAAAGCTCTCAAAAGTGACCAAGACTACTTCTGTGTTAATGAAGGGCTTTTATTTTTAACTCACAAGTGATCACCCCTGAGACACTGACTGCAATCATAAAGCACTGCATTAAAATATGCACTACCACCACTTGAACTTGCAACATTAAAATTGCAATTCACATTTCTCAACTTAAACACTTACGCCTCATCTATGTTTGGATGGAAAATCTTGTTGATGAAACCTTGAATGTAAGAAAAAAATATTTACATTGACATTGGACACATACATTGAACAAACATTAAGTATCACTCTAGCTTAAATGCCATAGTTGATATAAGAATCTGTGCATGAGGTGGGTCGCAGAGCTCTGCATTATTTACATTGCATGGCAGAAGAGTTCAACTCAGGATACACTGCAGACAAACCCAGCTACTGGCAGGATGGATGGCATTTCAAGTCTAGGCTTGAATCCAGGATCCCTGGCATACCAGACAGGTGGGCCCCCACCTACTTGATCACACTGCCTCCTCAATTTTTTTCAACCTTTCTGTGTCTTTTTTGTGAAATTTTTCTACATGTTACATGGAAGCTTGATTTCTCTTTTTGGACATAACTCATATTCCAAACTAAGAATGATCAAGTACTTTATTTACATTTTGTTATGCCAATGACATATTACAGTGTTGAGCCACTGCTAAGGGTACCACCACTTGTAGGCACACACCTTATAAGCAGATATTTTATCATGGCCCAGGACTTGCACATTTAACATCCCATAAGTAGACACTTTTGCTGACCCCTAGGTACCCTCTTGTAGGAGTTATAACGGTAATCACAAAGTTCATTACTATACATTTCGTTTTAGTTAGAAAGGATTGACTGTTAAAGAGCACTCACCTATGGAAGGTGATTTAAATGGGTATTTTTCTGGTAAATCAACCCTCACTTTCCAAACTCCTCCTTCGTAATGCGCTGCCAAAAAAAACAACATACAGCTCAAAATCATTTAATTAACTCTTCCTTTTATACCCTCCCCCCCCCCCCCCCCCCNACAATAGCAATCCCTAGGACTCCTAATGCAGACTGGAGTTGATAACACCTGGAATGTCCATCCATCCATTTTTAACTTACTTCCCACTTTGGCAAGCAATTTCTAAATCAAGTATTTAACATAATTAAACCAAAAGAAAACTGCCCTGATAAAATAACTTAAAAACTGTACAGATTGCAAAAAATATATATATATATTAATTAAAGATTACCAACGAAGAAAATTCTACAGTACCAGGAAAAGAAAATCAATATATATCTTTCATTGTCAATTATAAAATCAAGGTACTGCTGAAGTTTTTGCCAATAAGGTAAATTCTGAGGACTGATCAAGATAGTTTACACAGTTGCAGAAATTGAACAAGGAGTTCCTGTTTACACAAACTGTAAGTTGGTGAAATATCTCTCTGTGTCGTCTGGCTAGTCCTTTGTAGTTATTTTCAGAGCTGCCACATACTGTGCACATGGCAGTGTCTCCGAGAAATAAATTCACAAAATTCAAACATGCATCATCTTCTCTCATCGCACCAGGAGGCACATTAGGGCAATGATTGGTTTTCGCCTTAAGTTAATTGAATTTAAAATCAAGAATCATATGGTCACTTTGTCACTGGAAAAAAAGCCCTTAAAGTAATTAAATTATATTCTTCGATGGTGTCTACTCGCCAAGCTAAATGATAATATAACACATACATTGAACAGAAGTGTTGTGGCAAGTTGACATAATTTATGACTTCTGTTCATAATTTTGCTCACTGCATTTAATTTTCCTCAACCATTTTTACTGTTATTTATTAATCAAATAAAGTGGTTGGTGAGTGTGTGTTCTAGTCTGACACAAGCCTTTTCTACCCAGCATACACGTAACTATTTCCAATTATAGCTGCTTAGATGTCATTTGATTTTGCATTATATGCAATAAAAACAGTGCTGACATCAAGCTCACTGTATGACAAAATGTAGTCATTTTTTGAAATTTTTTTAATAATATTTTTGAGTATTGGTTTTGTTGGTGAACTTTTGATTTACATGCCTTCATTTGGAATTCTATTTTTCCAACTTTTTAATGGATGATATTTTGTCTGAGCAGGATTAACTGTTAGTTGAAGATTTATTAGTTGGTTACAGTGGTTCACTGGGAGACCCATTTGCTTACTTGCTATTTACCACAGAAAGATGAATATAGAATTTTTTGCTAGAGGCTGTTTGTTACTGTTCAACAGAATGGGAGCTCTGGTACTGTTGCCTTAAAAGTAATAAAACTAAGGTCATTTGCAAGGTCATTCAGGAATGATATTCAAATGACTTTCAAACCACCACAAATGGAAACAAAAATACATAACCACAATGTTTGCAGGAGGTAATTTTGTTGTCTACTTGGGTGCCATTTTGGCTAAGTTACTTCTTGAAATAACAAAACACTTACTAAATTTACACTCTATATTAAGACAAAAGTGGGAAATACCTTCAAATTTCAAAGCATATGGATTTCAAGACAAAGACCTTATTTTGCATGTAAGCTCAAGTTTAAACCTTTCCAAAGCTCTTCACATTTGCCTACTAGCAACCTCAAGTTTTAAATAGCCAGAATTTTAAACACAAGCTTTTATATTATCTGAAACACAGGACATTCAATTTATTTTCCCGGCAGCAAAACATCGTATCAGCTGTTTAGCACAGCGAACGAAAATGCAAATACATTCAATAAATTCCACTCTAACCTGGTATTTTTAACATTTTCCGACAACAACAATCTGTGCATAGCTAATGTTGAAATCGTTGCTGCTTACCTTCTGGCTTACATGTAGCTATAATCACTTTCTTATCAGCGAATTCACTCAATAGCAGATCGAGTTTTCGCTCTTTCTATATCAAATGTTTTCAGCCGGTTCCGATGTCACTTTCTAGAATATCCTTCACTGATATCGATTTATAATTTATAATATATGGCAAGATTAACATGGCTTTGGGAGAAAATGGAACCTTTGGAAGGGTTTAAAGAAATAAATGAGCCTGTGTGGTTGGTTATTTCATCAGATTTTTTGCCCGAAATAGCTTCTCCCCACAGATTATGTAAGCTAACAAAATGTGCGAACACGAGAACATACAGTAAAGTTCGCAATAGATAACAACAAACGAAAATATGCTTGCACTTACATCCACTGGGACCAAAGAACTTCACAATTAACTCGTTCAATCCACCAAGTACTGTCACTTCGTGCTTACTTTCGATTCTGATGATAACTTGTCAAAGAATAACCGTTGAACGTAGCAATCACATAGGATACAAAAACGATCAGCAGGCGAGCGCCATTTTGGCTTGCGACTTTGCTAACGAAAGCAAAACAAATCACCTTTAAATTTCGCGCAAACTCTGGCAAGGATACAGTTTAATAACATCAGTGTCCATTCGTCTCTTTCCAGGCGATGGAGACGACATTTTTGCCGGTCCTACAGGGCAAAATCTCTTCCAGTTTCGTCCCTCGCTGCAGCAACAATGGTCGCACTAAACTTTATGGTTGGTTTGTTGACGTAACATTATTATTTTGATCACGTGAAAGCTAAGCTCCGCCCCCCGTCCGCAGGTCTCGTGAACGGAAATTGAGGAAACCGGAAGATGAAATACTGAAAATAAACCAGAAAAAAAGAACTTAATTTTCTAGTAAAATTCGACATCGCTTGATAGGTGAAGAAAGAACTTGTAATACAGAGGAGATGAATACGAAAGAAAACTGGTTTTGACTCAAGTCACGAGGTATCTTTTATATAGACTGTAAAAAAGGTAAAATGAAAATAAAATAAACTTTCAACCTGGAGCGAGTTCCGCCAACATGGATTCCTGTTTCCGCTCTAAGCACTTTCCTTTTTGTCAATCAAACTGGTTGGCATTCGCTTGAGGCAGTAACAGTGGAGATATAAATGACTTCATTTTCCTTTCTTTGTATTTTTTTTCCAACACACTTAACCTTGACCTGAACAAGAAGGAAAACCTGAGAAAACGTTTTCACGATGTTATTCCGCAACGATCACGTACCTTAACTTTAAAATATTTCAAGGGCAAAAAATCACGACAAAATTCCTTCCCGTGAAAGTTCGTTAATTTCTTTCTCGTTTACTTCAGCTATCTTTTTGCAAACCTCGAAAGACCGAACACTGCGATAGGGCGGAGCATTTCAGCTGACGAGGACTAAAGCTACAAATCAAACCCTCAGTTCATGAATCCGTTTAAAAAAATCCACGAAAATCATGATATTATGTTGCTGCTCTAATCCACTGAAAGGATGGATACAACCCGGAAATTTCGAGATGAGGGTGCGAGGTCAATGATAACTGGTGTAAATTTAATTTTAACTTATCAACCCTCTCCTCTATTGAATCATTTACTCTGAGAATTTGATGACCAACAGAAGTCGAAAATCGCTGATAAGTCTTCAGGGAAGGGTGCCGTTTTGGAGCATTTTAGCATTTGTTGAGGGAGAGCGTTACGTGACAACAGTTGTGAATGAAGCGTTGTGTGACGATTTAGGTAACGTATGAGCAGTTCGTTATTTGTCGCTGAGACAAGACTGAAAAAAAAAAATTAAAACCGAAAAATATAAAAAATGAAACGCTGTTGCTGTAGCGCAAACAACAAAACAGAAAACAACCTCTTTTAATTTCCCTGTTTATTGGTTTGCTGTTGCCATTGCCTAAAGATTTAGAAACAAAGGCATCGATAACTGCAACGTAATTGTTAATAAGCAATGACGATATCTTACTCACAAATCACAAGTTAACACACTAAAGCCCATACAACATCCACATGCCCGCTTCATGCAGGTTTGCTCTCAATACATTCATGTTCCTTAACCATCTCCAATCAATGCAACATCGTCAAAAAGAAGCAGTAATCACTTAAGTTTCAGTTGACAGAAGTAAAAATTCGCAGGTTTAATTCTCTTGCGGAGAAGACCTTCAATGAATCAAAATTGGTCTGTGTTGTATCAATCAATCAGATTTGCGATAAAGATTGTCAACGCACCGAGTTAGATGGAAAGCATCGAGGATTCCTCTTAACTGATACAGGATTCTGTCTGACTGACTGTTGGTCTGTCTGTCTGTCTCTATGTTAGTCTGCAAGTCTGTCTGTCTGTCTGTCTGTCTGTCAGTCCATCTATCAGTCAGACTGTCAGTCCGTCTGCCAGTCTGCCGGTCTGACTTTGTCTGTCTTTCTCTTTGTCAGTCTGCAAGTCTGTCCGTCGGCCTGTCCGCTTACCCGTCTGTCTGTCTCTATGTTAGTCTGCAAGTCTGTCTGTCTGCCTATCCGCTTACCTGTCTGTCTGTCTGTCCGACTGCCAGTCTGTCTCCCAGTCTGCCGGTCTGCCTGTCTGTCTGTCTGTCTGTCTGTCTGTCTGTCTCTATGTCAGTCTGCAAACCTGTCTGTCTGCCTGTCCGCTTACCTGTCTGTCTGTCTGTCTGTCTGTCTGTCTGTCTGTCTTTCTGTTACTCTGTTTTTTGGTCGGTCTGTCTGTCTGTCCCTCTGTGATCGCCTGTCTGTCTTCCTCTGAGAAAAAGAGGTTAACCCGAAACTAACGAATTTTAAAGTTTGGTGTTGTAGAGAGGTTAAAATAAAATTAAGTGAAAGTCAACTTCTAACAAGTGGAAATTTAAACGAAGATGTCCATAGATGATCTCATTATCGTCAGAGCAACTCTGCATGCTCTTCACTGCAAAATGTCTACTCCGATACCAGATATATTCTCTGACTACACATGCCAGTTTGTTTACACTGCAAATTCACCCTTGAATACTATGGTGAACGTAAAATAGCAGCGCTACCCCTCTAAATGTGAGGGTTGTCACGCTTCTAATGACTTCTACTGAAGCTTCCTGTCAGTACAACTGAATCCATCGTAATTGCGTTACCAGATCCATTGTCACAGTGCTCGGGAATCACGCCATCCATGTTATTGTAAAACAGCTCTGTAATAAATCGACGAATAACCAAGGAGAAAGTTCTCTACACCCCCCAGAACAGCAAGTAACGTTACTTTGCGTGTCTCAGTTAAAAAATATAATCCTTTAAATACACTTCAGCACGGAGCGTCCAGTGTTAATGTTTATCATAAAATGTAAGCTGTTGTTTAGAGAGCCCTTTTAAGATACTCAAGTACTCTTCACATGACCGAAGTAAACTGAGCTGAGCCAGGAACAAACGTCCACGAAACCAGTGACGCTTTAGCTAGCATCTCTCCCATCCTATCCCCTGTTTCAATAGTTCTCTTTTTAACAAACAATGTCTGCTTTGTGGTCAAGTTTGTTTCACTGGAGAAAAGCAATCACTCAGTAACCTTCTCACTGTTTTCCACGCATCCTGCGGGGGAATCTAAGATGAATAAAAAAACAATAAAGGTATAAACATCTTATTAACCTCGTCTTCTCGCTCTGTACTGTAAGTTACGAACCAAGCTTCGCGCTTGGGTCATAAATCGAAGGGGAAAAAACGACTGAGGATCCGTCAACTAACTGTACGGACCGAGAAGACGAGCTTAGCACGATAGTTATTATGTCTCCAATGTGTGTCTGATGGGTTCGGGAATGATTTCTAGTCACACAGAACGGCTTCAAATGACTTGCGTACGAATCTAAGGCGAGTCAATTCGAAATCGTTGATACATTTGTCGTGGGCAAATTTTCAAACACCGAGAAGAGGGTCAAAAATACGACGCGCAGAAGGTAATTGAAATGTGGTTAAACACTGTCTGGAGTGTTTGATATATCTTATCGATTGAAACTAACACCGAGAAGAAAATGGAGAAATAAAATCGTAAAAATCTATGCTGATCAAGATCAGATATCTAAACACCGTCACGGTCATAATAACCTTGTTTATTAATGAGTTGGAGAAGTTAGCACTTCTGAATTCCGATATAGAAAAACCCTGACAAGTTAAAAATTTAGTGGCACCATTCCAAATCTGTTTTTACCTCGTGTATCAAATGAGTTGCAGTGGGACTCAGTGAAGGTAGAAGGGTCCCCAGAAGGAGCCTCCAGCCAGCTGGTGTAGTGTTCCCGTCACTGCCGCGCATATTCACTACCCACGGACACCAGGTCCGGTGCTCTGATAGCGTGTGGAAAGTGTTCTTTTCTATTTCCTGCAAAATAAAATCGCAAGTCAATAGGCCATTTCCGACTTGCCTTTAGCCTCAGTGTCAAAGCAAGAGTTTAGACAAAACCATTCATATCAAAATGTGTTTCGCCTGTATGTTGACGTTTATGAAAATGAAACCAATTTCACGCGAAAAGTTTTTGCAGGAAATGGTCTGTTACGAGAGAAAAGTAGATATTTTCTCTGGTCTGATGTTCAATCAAGGCCCTATTTCTCTTGTAGGGAAAAGGACATGACGATGAAGTTCAATGAACCCGCAATTTCATTGCTCAGAGACGTTGCATAGCAACATGACATATTCAAATGTCACCATGTTGGCGTGAAAATATTCAAACATTCAGAACCTCGTTTCCAGGGTCCTATCTCTTCTCATTCTGGAAACGAATTTGCAGCACACGGTGGTCAAACGATTTCTTCCCAGCTGAAATTAACAAATGCACGAGCATGCACCGACATACATGCAATACTAGTCAAAATGACACAGCCAGGAAATAATTTGCTTGTCAGACCTTGGTTGTACCTGTAATCTCCTTTTCTTTGCCCTTGGTCCACCATCTTCCCTCTCCGACATGCCCTCCCTACCACACCCCATGAATTCCAGCTCTGATTCAACATCCTGGAGTCTCTCTGACAAGCTTTCATTCTCAACCTCTACACATAAAGACTCTGTCGCCTCCTCGCCTGGCAGGTTGGACAGAGAGCGATGCAATGGAGACTTAAGACCCATTGGCTCATATGATTTGACAGTCAATGTAATAGAAGTCTCTGCTTCCTCGTATTCTTTTTCCATTGCGGAATCCTCCGTTGAGGATTTCTCTGCCCTATCACAACCTCCACCCTCTTCCATGGGCTCCGATTTCTCAGCCTCTGTACCGGCACTCTCGTCATCATCCCTGGCAACCCCCTGGATGCCCCCTTCACTACTCCCACCGCTGCAAGACTCTTCCGGGTCTGGGATCTGCACTGGTCTTCTTTCCTTGTCAAACATCTGTCCCGTGTCTAGATATGGAGGAGCGTCCTGTCCTTGTCTGTCATCTTGGTCAGTCGGAACATGTGTCAAGGGGAAGAAATTCCACACACCCAACTCCCGTCGGCACATGGAGCAGGAGAGAGTATTCAATTCTGGTTCACTTGCTATCCTGTAGGGAATAAGCAAACTTATTACACGACTAGGCTAGTTCAGTAGGCCAACTGTATAAGGTAAAGTCAAGTCAAGTCTGTGTTCACGCCTGGTGGCCCATCAGGCCAAAGGTTATCTGGTCTCCATGGAATGAGGCCACTAGAAACTTGTACTCCTACTTCCCACTGGATGGGACGAGTCCATCACAGGGTTAAACCCAGCATTAAATTGGCCAGTACCCATTTAATACCCTTGGTTGAAGAGAGGCACTGGGAGAGAAAAGTGTCTTGCCCATGAACACAACATGTAATAGCCCGAAGGCAGGGCTTGAACCCGCTCTGAATTCCAGCACAATAACCACGTTATTAACCCAGGTTGAAATCATTTTGAGCTAAAATACATTTTGAACTACAGTCCAACCCCTATTAAACGGCCACCCTCTTGGGAAATGGATAGTGGCTGCTTAAAGGGGGCTGGCCACTCAATAGACATAAAAGCAGTAGAAAAGCCATCATGGGGACTTAAGTTATGGCTGCCCAATTGGGGTCAGGTGGCCATTTAATAGGTGGCCGCTTAATAGGGCTTTGACTATATGTTACATATACATTTTCTCAAAGCTTAATACAAAAATATACTAAATAAAATTATTGCCAAAGTAAGCTTCCTAAAACAGACAGTCACCTGCCCGTCCACCCACAAAGCGCAATAATACAAGATGCTTTAGATGCTTGTTCTAAGTCCAGTTCATTTCTTGTCCAGCTGATGCTTCCTGGGTCAACTAAATTCTGAAGTCCTTCAATGTGACCTGTTGTCAAACAATCCTTGAAAAAAAAAAAATACATGAATAATAAAACCCACAATTTCCTGAAACTCCTAACAACATCATGAATCAAATTTCCCTTGGCCTTGATTCACTGTAATGGCAACGGTAAAGATAAAGGTGATGTAAACTTTATTTGAAGTTGAAAAATGCTGGAAGTGTTTGCACAATTTCCCAAGCCAAAGACTCATGTTGAAAATGCCTGACAAAAAAATTAAAAATAAGGAAATACATGTATACACTGATCTAAATGTTTACAATAGCATTAACGTGAAGAATGAGTTGTGAACAAAGCAATGAGGGACAGCAAAAAGTCACTGGTAAAAAGCAAAATGGAAAAAAATTACTGATTAGAAGATCATAAGAATTTCACACCAATTAAGAACCATCAAAAGTTGAAGAGGTTTCTTTTTTGGCAAATGCAGCATACAAAGAGGGTAAATTTGAGGACTGAAGACACAAGACAAAATTTCCAGTTGGTACTGTACATCTGACCATGTTTTGACCATAACTTTACTGATTAAATTAGCAAGTTTAAAATTCATTACAGCTAAAATATAAAATATTGTTTGTCACTGACCATGTCCTTGATAGCTTGTTCATCAACAAAGGGGATCTCGTCGACAAGCATGATAATGGATCTCCATCTTTCTCTGTAGTCCTCCAGCCACTGAGAGTAGCTGTACAATGGTAACTTTACAAATGACTCTGCCGCAAAAGAAAAAAATAGGACTTCAAAAGGCATAGTAATCCAAGAAATGATTCAGAATTATTTTATTTTTTATGGACCAAACAAGAACCTGTAGGTTGACCAGAGTAAAGGCCATTAACTGATGGCAGGGCTCGAAAAAAGTGCCGTCCCATTGCCCCAGACAAGTAGATTTTCCTTCTGGGCAAGTTACTTAACATTCTCACTTGCCCAATGGGCAAGAGACCAAGCAAGTCATCTGCCAACTAAATCATTAAAAGGGCAAACTAAGACTTGCCATGGGCAAGCAAAATTTGAGAGATACTTGTCCCAAGGGCAAGTTGGAATTCAAGTTTTTTTCGAGCCCTGTGATGGGAAACTCAATTAAATTATCACACAAAATTTTACATACATGTGTATTTCTATGCTCTAGAGAGGGACACTACTCATAGTTCTGTATGACACACCAAGCCACATCAATTTTGCAGTTTCCTTAAAGAATGTGCCTTGGTGGCTGAGGTTTAAAATTTAACATCGGGCTAGAAGCCAAAGGCTTGGAAACATGTAACTGCAATTACAGTATAATACAAAATGGAAAATGCAACAGAAATTTCCATTCAGAATAGCACATCAGGAAAACAAGACCACCTTTTCATAAAGTCTGTTTCATTTGAACATTTTTTTTTTTTTGTCGGACTGAACTGATAAAATCATGTGCCATTTACATTCCAACCAGAATTTCTGCAGTAAGTTTTAAATTGAAAACAACCACTAATTCATGGCCCTGACCATAAATTATTATTAATAATTACTGCATAATAATTCATGGCCCTGACCACAAATTATTACTAATAATTACTGCACAATATTATTATGTATGATAAATAATCACAAACCTGGGCAGGGATTATCAGGCCATGGACACTGTTTAGAATGGCCACTGACAAGTGCTTCCTTCAACTGATCACAAGTCTTGGCATCTAAGATTAGGAATTCAGATTGATACGATTAGAAATATAGTTGAATCCTGCTATTTTGACCTTTCAAAGGAAAGGGAAAAAGGTCAGATGGTGGGGGTTCAGGACAGCTGACAGTGAACAACTGAAACAATACAGCTTCAAAATTTTAAGGGACCTGCACAATTCTTAAGAATCCTCATAAATTGACTGTCTGAGAAAATAAGACCTTGGCACCATTTTTCATACAAAGGCTTTTATATTGTAACCCTCATACAATGGAGCAAGAGAGGGGAAGTCTGGTACCAATCTAATTTGGCCACCATGTTGAACCTTTGTATGTTTACTCAATTTATTAACCAGCGTCTTCAATCACTCATGTTGCTTTTCTTGGATTAAAGTTAAGGCCCTCAGTGTAAGATTGTTTTTGCACAATTTGGTAACTTTTTTATTTCATATTTTCTTCTGCTATTTTATTTCATTTGAGTTAAACGTAATTGTGCATCCCAAGGATGTGACAAGTCCTGTGTTTGTGCGTCCTAAGAAAGTTTTATGCGTGTATATGTAGCATGATTTGTGCGTAAACACAAGCTCCGGCAAAAAGTAAACAATTTGAGTTGCAGTTACATGTAGCAGGGACTTAAAGATAACCATGGTCAAGATAGTGAAGTTCAATTATTGTAGCTAAATGGATTGCTTGGAGTGGACATGCAAAATATGACCAGCTACTGAAAGATTTACATTCTGTTTCCATTGAAGCTTAAACGTCACTTACAAGGATCTACAATCATTGTCACGGGGTCCTCAAACTGGTATCATATATTTAGCAAAATAACCCCTAGGAGAAAATCCTTTTGAGGAGAAACAAGAACTTAGTTGCTATTCAACTTTCTTAACCCTTCTCCACACCCTTCCCCACTTTCCTGAAAAAAAGAAAAGCATTACTGAAATATTGTCACATGCAGATGGATAATCAATCATCTTTAGACTTTGAGGATGTAGTTTTTGGTAAATAAATTACATCGTTAATAATAAATTAATTTTGACTTAAGTTTGTAAACAATTTTCAGTATCATTTTTAACATCAATTCAACAAACAGTTACATGTATTTCTCTCATATATCTAACACCTGGCATTCATATACAACCTTAAGAGACAGGAATCTTCATTGATGTTACACCTAAAGCACACTACATGTTCATTTCAATATCATGTGCAACTCACAAATGTCAGAATCCCATGTGGTGGATATGGTTGCATCAAGACACGCCTTGCAGCTGACGCACTGTAGTATGTCAACCTCACTGTTCTCCCAGCCATATTGGGCACAGTGCAATGGCGACAATGCAAGCGGTTTTGCAAACCATGTAAATGGATGGGAAAAGTTAAAGAAGAAACCTCAATTCAGTTTGAAGGGCATAAATTTCACAGTGTAAATGATAATTAACTTTTTTTCCCTTTGCCAAATTGTAAAGATTTTAAATGGTAGCCCAATAATTTCATATTCTAAATTATGCCATTTAGTAAAACAGTATGTCAACAGTTTGTTTGAAATCTGCAACAATCACTATGACAGGAATCAGAGTTACAATCACTCTTGGAAACCACAATGCATGTTAAGACACTGTATCTGGACTGAGCACAGTCTTGTAAAAAAAAATTCTCTTCAAATAAAGAAACAAATAAAGGAAGTTTTTCAACATAACTATAATGTTTTGGTGAGGAAAGGCAACTACATCAAAGTGGTGAAAATTAGCCAAACTGTGCAAAAATAGTATGTAAACATTCAAGAAGATTCAGATGGAGAATCGTGGACAAAAGTCTTTGGTACACTTACTGTATGTAATGTTAGTAATGGATTATCGGTTTTTTACAACTGAAGTTAGAAAAAAGCCCTGAGCCTATCCTTTTAAAAACACGATTATTTTCCCCCTCCCCAACCAATACAATGTTGGAACTAAGGAGAAAGTGCAGGTACTAGTTTTCAAAATTGTATGTGGGGTAGGGGGCAAGGTTAGGTTCATGTAGGTGAAGTTGTATTCGCACCTGGTGTGTGCGCAAAAGCGCCAAAAGTGCAAATTTGTCCCACGACTTTTGTCCATGATTGTAGGTCAAATAATTTTAGCACTGACCAGCTGGTCAAAGTATCACCACAATAGCCTTATAAACTGTGGAAGACCTCAAAAGATCAACCCAGAAAGATCAAAAAGTGGCAAGAATGCACAAAATTGGAAAAGAATTAATTGACTTGTATCCTGGTAAACTTGATAAACATTGGCCAGTCTTTTTTCAAGTTTATCTCAATTTGTATGAAAATATCATGAATTATAATGGTCGGAAATCATCCTTGTTTGTTCTGGGGCAGCGACTACGATTATCAGTTGAGCAACGCACAACAGAACTTTGGTGACATGGTTTTTGGCCTTAAAATTACATTGTTGTCATGGACAACTTTCCTCATCTCCAAAGGCGACAATATCAAAACCTGTATATGGCCTACAATTTTGCGTGCTTTGCTGCTAATAATGTCAAACGCCAGCAAGTTGCCACTGGAAAGGGAGCCAGTTGCCAGTGACAACAACAGGATTTTAATGTTACAACATGATTACCAAACTTTCATCTTGCCTTACTCAACTGATAATCATAGGATATTGCCAATTGAAGCCTGCTGTTCTGCCAACTTGAAGTTTCGAACTCTAAAATAAGCAGAGCTACATAAAATATTGCACATGACCTTTCCCCTTAATTTAAAAAAATGTATGTATTCATGTATTGTCTCCAACATTGTTAGTTTTTGCTCAGTTTATGTTAAATTTTCACACAAAAGTAGCAACCTGCAACATCTTGAATTCCAGATGATGCTCTTAGGGCAGAACTTAGCGTATCAAGAGAAGGGTTTGTTTATATTAAGAGCATTGATAACAGCCTTAGGTACATGTATCTGTTTTCAAAAGCTTTTTGCAATTTTTTTTGGTACATGACTGGTACAATCTGAAACTTTGCATAAAAGGATACAGAGAATGTTTCCACCCGACTCCAAAATGCTTCTTTACTTCTTGGCTGGCTTCCGCAAAATGATTCTACAGGATCATCTTGTTCTGGAATCCTGGAAGAACAAAGGGTTAAATGTTAATATAACTGGTAAACCTATCACATTCAATCAGTTGTCCTTAGCTTGACAAAATTAACGGCTAAATGTAGCATTGCAAAGGGGGTTCATGAAAATGATATGCTATCTGGACAAAAATCAGTGAAATAGAAGGAAAACATGGAGAGCTGATGCCTGATACACAAGTGTGAGAAAATTCAGTTTGACTTGTTCTACATATTTTTCATCAAGTGACTAATTTACAGAGGGGGGCGTAAGGGTTTGTGGTGATGCGGTTTTGCATTAGTTTTGGTGCAGTTCTGCGAAAATTTGTATTTTAACCTGCTGTATTGCAGTTTTATGAGACCAAACGGTATTCTAAGTTTTCAAAATATAGTGCTGATTCTGTCAAATTGCGACCAAAAAAATGGGTGTTCTGAGCTTATATTTGGGATATTTGAGCTTGAAAACTAGCATCTAGAGGAATTTCAACAAAAAAAATCACGGAAAGCATTGACAAAATAAATAAGGCCATATTTCTAATGCAATGGTGAACCTGAAGTATTGATGATGGCATCTGGTACATTTGTAACTATGGTTGCAGTATTTTGGTAAATTTTGGTATTGCGGTTTTTTATGTTTTTCTAAGTGGTTTTGCGGTTTCCGAATCCCTCTTACGCCCACCTCTTGACAGAATTGACACATAACAAAGAGGAGCACACTCTTGAAAAAATGTCTGGAAACACAAGCTAGTAATATTGTTTGGTGACATCTACGTATTTTGCAAGTGTATGACTTGAGAAGAGAGCTAAAATTCAGGCTGACTGCAAATGGCTGCCAGATCATTCATTTATTGCTACAGTATACAGCACATAACACATTATTTTACTTTTACCCACGTGTATGAACTATGCCTTAGCGTACATGAGTCTCTTGTAACTCAAATGTTAAAGAATTTGACTTCCGGATGCAAGGTAATTAGATTATAGGTTAACTCCTATTAAAGAGGTCACTATCTGCCAAATGCTCCTTCATCACATTTATCATGTCAAGCACTACACATAAACAAATGTTTATTTCTTTTATTGAACTAATGAGAGTCTAAACTAATGACCCAATCATCCCTTGGTCATATTTTAATAACATATGAGCAACCTTGGGCTTGGTTAAACTTAACACTGTTCAACAATTACCTTTGAGATGAAATTTATAACCAGACATTAGTTATTGAATGATGGGTGTTTACTATGTAGCTTGGCAGTATGTTACTGTACAATGACAGCAAGTACTTTGCGATTTCTGATTTAAAATAACAATAACATAGCAGTTTTTTAACGTTAGCAAGTTGCAGCCAGTTTGGAAACGCTACGGATTAAAATTTTACAGCGACCGATGCAATGACGCCACGTCTGGCGTAAAAAGTCCTCGAATCTGCAATGCACGTTGATGTCTTCAAATGTTTCATCGTAACGCGATGAAATGCCCCTTTGATGCAGAATTACACAATTCAAGAGCAACATCTTTACAGGAAATCGATTCGACATAGGTCGAGAACGTTTGATCGCGACACTTGAGGTAAACAGCAACATCAAAACCCGATCGATTTTAATCATACATGCATGCATACATGTTCGTAAACGTATTTGCATGCTTCGAATAACTTTGAATCGAGCGCCTTTATTTTTTGCTGTTCTTGATTGCAAAGTTTAGACGAACAGATTAGAAGTTAGCTTTTCTATGTATGTTTACCTCGATTCGTCTTCTTTGCCAGAAGTGTGAAGAAAACTCGATAACAGAGCGCGAACTCTGCGATCTGTACCTTCCACAGCTGCCGCCATATTGTCTTTGATTTGTCTCGTGTCCAGTACCCCTGGAAACACATTCGCGCGCAAGAGATTCGCGCAAGACAGGAAGAAATGAGTCTGCACTAATTTGTCTGCAGCTTTACTTTACTTGTCTACACTGCAATCCAGCTGTCTTCGTTGATCTTTGCTCACCTATATCATAACAACACGCTAGCAAGCGCAATGATGCAAACATGTGAAACCTCAAAAAAGAACGAAAAAACATCTGCACATGTCAACATCTTAGCGTGCTAACCTGGTTCAAACAAGCAAGTTGCTAACCTACGACGAGGCCACGAGTTCTAAAGATTTTGCTTTCTCTTCCGTGGACTCCTGCGGATAGTAATTAAATAGCTGAGGAAGCATATCCATAAGAAAATTATCCGATTTCAAATAGCAGGAGTTCAAAACGACGAAGGAGCGAAGGTTCACTAATTTCAAGTTTGTGCTTTTGTTTTTGCGATGAAAATAATCACGGTGACGAAATGAACATGTATGTGACGATACTCTCAATGGAGCAAAACCCGCACGATCAATAAAAGTGCCCTTTCTCTCGCTAGAATTCGCGTTATTACACATTGTAGTCACCATCTGTCTTAAAAGCCTGCAGTTAGTTCCGGGAAACTGAGCGTAACCTACAGATTATTCACTAATCTGCTAGCAGATTAGTGAATAATCCATAGGTTGCGCGCGCAATGCATGATTTCCAAGAGCAATGTCAAGTTCACGAGAACAAGGCTCGTCGAAAATAAACTGCGTTCGCTGCGATAATGCCTTTGACGTTACTTTCTTTAAAACAATGTATAATAAAACGATTATGAGATTCGATTTTTGTGATATCCGAAACAATCAAGGTCCCGGTTAGAGTTATCAGCGGAAGCCTTCGGCTTCGGCTGATAACACTTACCTCGACCTTGATTAATCCGGATATCACAAAAACGTCATCCAATAATTGTTTATTATTAGTTATTGCCCCGTGCATCCAGACCCCATGGGAGTGTTCCTTTTGAAAATTATGCGGTGTTTAACAAATTGACGACAGTTTTTCATGCGTCTATCCTCAGACTACTTTGACAATGTTATAACGAATTTCATTGTCAATAACAGGACAGACGAATTAGTAAGTCTCGTCATTTTTGTCTTTTTGGGTTTCGTTTATTGGGTGGGATATTCTCCATACAGTTTTGTTTAATTTTTCTTTTAAGATTACTAGCAATTTAGGCTTCGCGTGTTTAACCAATTTAGATTCCACGTGTCACAAACTTCGGCACGCGGTGAAGTCAGTGAACCAGTATTCTATTTCCCGTAGAAAGTTCTAGTTTACTTTAGGTGAGTTTGCGTCTTTCAGTAGGCTAGTTAAGGCTAAAATACGAATTAACTTTACTTACATTAGACATTCTCAAAGCCCTTCTCGGTTACTTGATCCGTTTTAGCGTTGCAGACATTTTTAGCCTTGAGTCGGAGCAAGTTTATACATGTAATTACTTTTGTAAACTCCGGTGTTAATATGCGTATCGGTGGAAAACTTTAATTGTTATTTTTCCTCTGTTTGACGATTTCAGTTTTCTAACCCGTGGTATTTGCCTGTTCGGTTAGTTTTGGCCAGTTTACGTATATGCTTTCTGCTTTTCGCTCATGAGTCTATGTATGAGCTATCTGGAGTAAAGTGGCGACCGCTTGTTCCCAGAACTTAATTATTCTAACTCGGACAGGGCGTTTAATTTTGAGTGTTTTGAGTAAGGGCTCCCGGTAAATATAACTATGATTTTACAAGTAGGTGATAGAGAACTGGTAGAGACTGAAGACAAAACTCTGCGCAGTTCAAAGTTGACTACATTGTACCACATCTAGGGGATATATTCTGTCTATAACGTAAAATCTGTGCGAAAGTGTCATAGACAAATTTGATTTCGATTTATTCGCTGTGCTACTTGTCGCCAAGGTCTTTCCTAATGTCGGCTCACCAGAAATCTGAACGATAAAGAGAAAGCAATCCAACAGTAGACTGAAATGAATCAGTCCGGAAACTTGCTTGTCTTTGCACTGCTTCATGTACCATCTTCTCGACGCCTTCTTTAAGATTAAAAGGTCAGTTAAGTTGTGCGGACAATAAGCTTGACCATTGTTTGACATGAATATGTTTTGGACCGGTTCTTGTAAGAGTTCCCGT